TGCCGCCAGCATACAGCTCCGGTTACGGGACGAGGAAGGTGCCAAGAAGAAGCTCGACGAGTGCGAGCAAATACTCGACAACTTCGACTCGGTAGAGACGGTGGTGCACGCCTCCTTCTACCGAGCAAGCGCAGAGTACTACAAGTCCAAGCACGAGTTTGCGGCATACTACAAGAATGCTCTGCTCTTCCTTGCGTGCGTCGACCTGCAAGACCTAGAGCTACGAGAACGCCAGTCCCGCGCCTACGACCTCAGCATCGCCGCGCTCGTCTCGGACTCCATCTACAACTTTGGAGAGCTGCTCCTCCACCCCATCCTCGACTCGCTCGTCAACACCCCACACGCATGGCTGCGGGACCTCCTCTTCGCCTTCAACCGCGGCGACCTGATCGCATACGACGTCCTGGCCGGCAACATCTCCAAAGTGCCCCTCCTCAAGGAACACCAGACCTTCCTGTACCAAAAGATCTCCCTCTCTGCGCTCACTGAGACCGTCTTTCGCCGCCCACCCCACGACCGCGCCATGACCTTTTCCGAGATCTCGCAGGAGACAAAGGTGCAGCCGAATGAGATCGAGCACTTGATCATGAAGGCGTTGAGCTTGGGCCTGCTGCGGGGTCAGATTGATCAGGTTGCTGAGATCGCGCGGATCAATTGGGTGCAGCCCAAGGTGTTGGATATGAAGCAGATTGAGAGTATGAGGAGCAGGTTGAAGGAGTGGGATGCGAGCGTCAACCAGCTCGGTAACTGGATCGAGGGTGTCGGCAAGGACGTATGGGCTGCATGAGCTGATGATAGTAATTGCTGCCCATAGCACTGATGGCATGCTCGGTTATGCAAAACGCGATTAGACGCGATGTAATCATAGACTTGACCTGTCAGCTCTACTTCAACGATGTGAATGACGAAAGAGCCACACGCCCTGCAATCCATATATCAAAACTTTTACGAAGTTGAACGTCTTAAACCTCTCCATTGCGTATACACTTCCAGGTCGATTTCTATCCATCTCTAGCATAGTCGCCTATATCATACAAGCCCCTAACTATCCATCCAATTCTTCGCACTCCCAAATCAACATCTTCTCCCTCGCTCATCAGTTCACTCAAACAACCCCCCAGCCACAACCGTCGCCCCAACAACCCACGCCGGAAACCACACCACACAAAGCACCAGCTGCGTCCACATGCCCCACACATGCCAGCCCACGGCCGCGATCCTCAAGACGTCAGCCAGATCCGCACCCAGCAATTTGGAACTCCACTGCGCCACCATAATAGGGTTCAAGACGACCAGTATGCCGAGCTGAAGGAACGTCAAGCCCGGATGCGACGTGCGGCGCACAAAAGACAGCGGCGCAGCGAGGACGCCAACCATGACGCTGAGGGAGAAGTTGAGCGTTGCAAGGGCGCTCAGACACATGCCCATGCCGAGGAGGCTGAAGCACTGGATCAGCGTGATCTGCTGCATGGTTAGGCTTGGCTCGAGGGCGTAGTAGTTTATGAAGGCGAGGCCGACGGGGAGGAGGACGGAGACGTTTGCGACGGTTAGGAAGACGGCGACGAGCATGTCGCTGTCCCAGGTGTTGAAGTAGTAGAGGGGGATGAGGCCGGCGGCGTGGGTGGCGAGGAGGATGAGGAGAGGTTGGAGGAGGGGGCGTTCGATGGTTGCCAGGGTAGAGGATGGGACGATGGCGATGGAGGAGCCGGATTTTATGACCGTCGTAGAGGGGGTGTCTGCGGTGGTGGACGTGGGTTTCTTGTCGTCTGAGGCCTTGTCGAGTGGCTTTTTCTCGTCCGAAGTGGCAGGCTTGGGGTCTGAGGGTCCTTTTTGCGTTGACGCTGGGTTGGCGGCGGGTTTAGTTGGACGGCCGCTCTTCACCCACAGTGCTAGGGCGGTGATGCTGAAGTTCAACGCGATCAACATGGCAGAGGGAAGGTATGTGCCGATGCTGACGAAGCGCTTAGGGTTAAGCAACATATAGAAGAAGAAGCTTTGATGCAAGTGCTCGAGCAGATTGTTGAGGCTGCGGAAGAGCGACTCGACAGTCCGTCCAAGAGAGATCTCATCATGCCAGCCGTCACCAACCGTGACGAGCGAAATGGCATCGACGTGGTATGGGATGAAGGATGAATGAGGGCCAGTCGCGTGTCCCAGACCTTGCGATACCATGCCTCGAAACATGGTGGTGAGGCGGTCCATGTAGCCATCGCCTTGTCCAAACAAGCCCTGGATCGCCGAGTCGATGCCCATTTGTCCGCCTGCGATCTGGACAGCCGTATTGAAGAGATCTAGGTTCGCAAGCTGGCCATTGATACCGTCATACACAACATGCAGCTTATCGTAGCGGTGGCCCCACGGTCCAGCAGGATAGTCAACTGCAACAGCGGCTTGAAGTGCCCCGCTCTTGATCTTCAGACTCTCGACATATCGCTCGTCGTGTCCGTTGTGGTATGCGTCAACCCACGCCTGAGGCCCAATCGTGCTGTCTCCAGGTATCAAGAGGATGATGTCTTTGCTCCACAGACTCCAGCGCTTAAAGTAGCGGGCCAGTGTAAGGACGAGAGCTACGCCAGACGTGTTGACTTCGTCTTTCATGTTCCTCCATGCGCCGATGAGTACAATGGCTTCAGTTGCATCGGCGCGGGGACCTTGTAGTATAGCGTAGACATTTTCGTTCGCGAGGGTCTGGTTGGACACTGTGTAGTTGTACTTTTGCGTCGCAACCTTGAGGTTTTGTTCGAGCAGTATGCCTTCAAGCGCTTTCGATCGCCTATGTATTGTCAACCTCTGCAGCTCGAGAGAGGCGGCATGACTTACTCCTCAACACTCTTGTCGCTCAATTCGTGGACCTCGTGTCGATACGCTCGGAAGACATTGTGTTCGGAACCAGTGAAGTATGTGTGAACTTGTCCGGGAAGGAGCGCATTTTCTGAGACATAGGTCCTTCGAGAATACCCGTCGAGAGGAAGGAAGAGGAGCCATGCGATTCCGATCACAACGCAGAGGGCTGAGAGATACGGTGGTATCTTGAGAATGCGAGCATCTTTGCGGAGCGCAAGGATGGAAGCTTCACATGTTAGCAGCTACACATACAGTAGGTTTTCCCAAGACTTACATATGAGCGCCATACTGTCCGTCCTCAATTGCACAAGCCAGGAAAGAAAAGGAGACAAAGAGACACGAGACACGAGACACGAGACGTGCGGGACCTCCAAGACTTTGTCCAAGCACTTCCAGACTCCAGAGGTGGAAGGTGCGAAGCGTGGGGATCTGCGGCTAGTGAAGGTCGGGGATCCCTGCCACCTGGTAAACGGTCATCTCATCTTTCCATCTGATCCGGCGGACGCGCCGCAAACAACACCGTCCGGACGACACACGACGAGCCACGACGCCACCCGCCATGCTGTTTTTTACACAGTTCAATCCGACGCGCATACGCTCATATATCTTCCGACTGCCGCTGTGTACGAGGGTGCTGGTCGCTGCTATTTTGGGCTTGTACATTGCGACCATCCCGCTGCCATGGCTGAGGGAGTTTGCGCAGCTGGAGCCTGCTAAGATGGACTTCACCCAGAGTATGTCGCTCTTTTATTTATCATACAGGGAGAAAGGCTGGGTGTTTGGGTGGCGCATGGGCATATTGTGGACTCGAGCATCGAAGCTCCTGAGACTTGCAGAACATGCGGACAACCGTACAAATGCTCAGTGTCTGGAAGAGAAAACATGAAGTTCGGATTAGAGAGTGTACATGAAGCTAATACATACCTCTTTAGTGCACCGCCTCAATCTGTTCCCCATCATGCATCTCAACTTTTTCCACATGATCTTCAACCTCATCGCCGTAACGCCTCTCATCGAGCGATTCGAGTCCGAGTTCGGCACACTGGTTACATTGGCGTTGTTCACAGGGCGTAAGAAACACCGGTTCACGGGGAAAGAAAGGCCATTGACAGGACATAGCATTCGGAACAATACCGGGCGGCATCTACACGTTGCTTGAAAAGTTTGTGCTGCGCAGCAACACCATTGTCATGGGCGCGAGGTAGGAGTTCTGCAATAAAAAAGTCTAGGCATACGGCTAACAACACACAGCATCTGGTTCTTCCTCCTTCTCTCCGCAGAAGTTATGAAAACCCATAAAACTAACCCCAACTTCAAGTACGTCTCCTTCTCCTTCACCCTCCCAGCGCCAAGCTAACATATCCCAGCGTCGGCCCCTACAAGATCCCCACTTGGAGCACGCCTCTCATCCTCGTCCTCGTCACCAGCTTCATTGTTCCCAATGTCAGCCTCATCGGGCACCTCTGCGGCGCAGGCATCGGCTACCTGTGGGCTTCCGGTTACATCAAGTTCCTCGTCCCGCACGAGAAGATCCTGCGCTGGGTAGAGAACAAGCTCAACTTGCTCGGCAGATTGCCACATTATGTTAGTGTGGATCAGAAGACGTATGGCAGGTACGGAGTGCTGCCAACCACGAATGCGCCGGTGCCGTTGGGGAACATGCCGAGGGCTCCGGAATCAGGACAAAGATTGGGACCGTAAGTGCTTGATTGACTATGTGGTAAATGGGAGGTAGCGTTGGGGATGTTAATGTGAAAGTGGAATTATGTATATTTAATAGCATGATGGAAGTGGCGTTTTCTGTATTTGGGATGGCAAAGGTTAGGACTGGAGGACAGGCGCACCATCCAACACCTGATGAGATATAATGCACTGTGTATAGACTATTTATCACAATTTGGATGTCAGTCTATTTATGCAGGTCTGAGAACCAGAGTAGAGCTCCGAGTATGAACTAGACGTTCTCACGCATGACCCCTCCACCCAAGCAAGAAAATTCCCCCTCCACCCCACTTCGCTTTGTCAAGCTTTCCACTTCTTGTCTGAACCTTCGACTCCACATTTTCCAGCTCTGCTTGCTCACCCCAATTTGATTTGTACATTATATTTGTTCTAATTTTAGATTATGTCACCAACGCAAACAATTAGTTTGCAAAGTCTCGTTGGTGTAGTTGGTTATCACGTGGGTCTCATATCATCACGTATGACTGCTCTAAAGAGTAGATATCCCAAGGCCGCCAGTTCGAGTCTGGCACGGGACAGCTGAAGATTTCTTTTTTGCGCTTTCGAACGTCTCAACCAGAGGGGGGGAGCAGTAGCTGGAAAGGATGATTTGGTTTTTTGCCTAGATAAGATTTGACAGGATGCGTGGCAAGAGTGTTATCTCTAGCGCTAGGTTGAACACACATAATTTTTTTTCCTCTAGTAAATATTTCAGTAGTGTTGGGTCAAGGCAATTGTGGATTCTCGACGTCGAGTGCTAGGAAATAAAGCATGAACACACAGGTGATAAGTTCAAGGCAAGCAGGTATGGAAGTTCGTGAATAAATCCACACATGCCAGACCTTTGCAGTTGAACTTGAGTTCCGACTTGATCCACGTGTACGAGCTTGATGCATTGTCCTCATCTTATCATTCACTCCTTATCCCTTGAGGTGCGGCACTCGAATGCACGACAGTAAAACCATCTCGCAGCCCGTTCACGCATCTCAAACTAAAGTCTCGAGCTACACTGATTATTGCGGCTGCGGGTAAATGTGTCGTGTGTCGTGTTCTGCTTCACTCCTACCTGCGACATGCGCCTTGTGTCGCGACACCAAATGCCCCTCCGTGATGCGCACGAACACATTGCCAGAAGCGGAAAGTCTGCGGACGGCGTGGAAAATAGAGCTACAGGAGGGGCACGAAGTAATCGAGGGGCATAGAGGGGCAAGCAGGGCGAGGAGCGCGGGGTGGTTGAGTGAGGGGCATTTGGAGGGGTGGAGGGGTAGAGAAAAATTGGTGAAGTCAGCTTAGCTCAATGACGAGATTGAGGGGCAAGGGGCTGCAAGGAATTCCGTTAATGTCAAAGCTGGTGTGAGGGTGAGCTGAGGGTAAGCTAGAAAAGTATATCTAGCAGTCTTGTCGTGAAAGTCTTTCATTGTTCCATACTTGCACAGTCTGAACTCCGGGGCATATCCAACTGTTTCGTTATGTGGATGAAACTTCGATCTCATTTCCAACATTTATTCTCCATTCCGTTGATGCTGCTCTTCCGTATCCGCCAATGTTCCACCCTTTCGTGTGCGGCAGAAAGTAGCGAGGCTCCCGTGTATGGCTCAAAGTGTTCGCAATGGGCGCCATCAGATCGAGAGCTTCATGTCGCTATTCTGCAACCTGGAGACGAAATGTTTGCTTCTCACGCCCTGCTCAATCTGTACCATATGTGCCGATCGATTCGCTCTTTCAACATCAGATGGATACAGTCTGAGAACTATAACGCACAGTGCTGTCCGTGAACACCAATATTTCTGCTGGAGAGTCTCTCACGAATCATTACAGACAATATGTGATGTTCCCACCCTGGAGCTACATCTATTACACGCCATGATACCCCGGCTTAATTTATCCTAGTTATCCACCTAGCTGCCCTGGAATCATCCCGATACACTTCACGATCGTCTCAGTAAGGCCGCTCATGCCGTGATACGAGGGTGATGGGTATATAGCAATCATCAGATGGTCGGTACCATGTTTGTTCGCGCTGTCGCCTTGGAAGGACGCAACGTGTAGTTTATAGCAACGAACACACCTACAAAACCCCTAATCTCTAATGTATAGTAATACCCACCACGTGATAAGTAGTTCCAAAGGGCTAAAAGATCTGACATATACGAGCTTCTTCGTGAACTATTTGACCACGTTCATACCTATGAAACTGATGCCGTCCATAACTCCCAGGGCACTACCTTAGCGCCAGCACCCTCGAGCTGAGACTCTACCTCTCCTTCGATGGCGTCCGCTGCCTTGTCATCAATGTCGTAAGTAGAGTGCGCACCTCTCAACAAGATGACATTGAATCCAGAGGCTAGCGCACTCCTGCAAGTCGAAAGGACGCAGCATTCACTTTGAATCCCAAAAGCCACAATCGTATCTACACCCTCTTTCTTCAGCTGGGCTGCGAGCTGCGGGTTGGACTCAAAGGTATCGCCTAGGTGCGTTTGTCAGATCGAGCAGATTCAACATTAAACTCCAAGAGCTTGATGTTACTCACGGACATCCTTTGACACCAATCGTTCCCATTTGTTATTTTCTCGTGGCTTGAACACGAGCTCCCAGGGTTTGCTTCCCTTCACTAAAGGTCCATTCTCTGCAACCTGCTCATGTTGCACAAACACAATCTCCAAATCTTGTGCTCTTCCATGTTCGCTAGCCGTGTCGATGACTTGACGTGTTTTTTGAAGGATTCCCGTTCCGGCTCTCCGGATTCGCTCCGCGTGTGGTATTTCGGTTGTTGCATTATCCGCTAACTCAACTTGTATGTCGATCACAAAGAGTGCGGTACGTGCCATAGCGAATTCTGCACTTTAGATGTAGTAGTTGCGTCCTTTGTGAGATCGAGTAGTCTTTGTAGGGTTGTAATGTTTGGCGTGTGAGTCATTGTACTTGAGGAGTCGTCAACATTAATTTACGACTAAGCTACCTTAAGCTAAGTGTACATGGTCTCAGTATCTAGCTTATTGTACTCATGTTTGATTGTTATATAAGTTACATATTGAATTCATATTCTTGATAGACGATATTAGCAAAGGATAGAATTTATAACCTGAGTCAACAACGCCTTTTCAAGAATGTATATCATTATGTTAGGGATTAATGAGAGTACATTATCATGTAAGACACCTAACTACGCAGGGATTACTTTGCAATATTCGTGACCCATTTTGTCGCTTGCTGTACGACCGGTGCTTTGCCAGCGATGTCTCTAAGTCTTTGTACACAAATTCGAAAGGGAGCTTCTCCAAAGCCCATTGCAGCGTTGCGCAGCCTCTTTCGCTGCAGAACATTTCGACCAACAATCGAAGAGCTGACGAATCCTCAACAGTGCTTTTCTACATTGTCGTGATACAACGGTCGGAATGGAAGTGTGTGCCAATGAACGCGACATCAAACTAGGCATTGCAACCTGAAATTTATCATGCATGAAAGTTCTCTCAGAACATAAAAGCGGGCATGTGATCGCTAGACTTTGTGGCAAGTACAGTGACGCTATGGGAGTAAAGCGAATTGGAATATACCTCAACTATAGTGAGTTCTTTGTTGGTAAAAAGAATGAGTTTTTTGTTGTTTCGGGGGCTCCACTCTAGTACTCTGGCTGTTTTGAAGAATGAAGCATCGACCGGACATCTTTGTAAATACGAAAAATCATTTTGTTCGCGAAGCTCTTGGATACATTAAAATCTCAAGTCTTCTACATATGTTCTAGAAACGCCTTCGCTATTGCTATCAAAAGTCGTCGTCATTGGAAAATACGCCACCACCGGATAGGCTGCCCTTGTGATTACCGCATGTGGTGGTGAATGCCTCGTGCTATCCGATACTTTTGCCTTAATCCACAGTCATAGTTGAATTCTTTGATATTTTGACTCTCAGGGATCGCCCTCACAAAGTTTCTCTGAAATGAGTGTGCTTAGAAGATATGGGGTATCGGTGCGACAACGAGGCTCATATTACGAGCCCCAATCTGGTCTGAGCTGACTGCGATTTCGGCGTCTCCCTCCACGTCGTCCCATGACGTGTTTGCCCCCGCTTCGCAACATTGAAGAACGCAGGATTCCGCTGAGGAAGTTTAACGAGGAGATATACCGAGAGTATAAAAGTTCAGTCGTAGTAGAAGTACATGGATTCAAGTTTCAAACGTCACCCTGCCTCGCTGACAAGCTCTAAAAGTACTTGCGAGCCTTTCGAGTACCTCATTATATCGCTCGCTATCACCTTCTCAAGTTTGAACAATCTTTGCGGATACGCACTCTCACCAGTCAAAGCTTGCACAACGGGGAGAACTGCTGCACTGAACGATTGGAGAAGGGCACCCTGAGATTCGTGGAGACTGTCGACGAGTTTACTAAACTCAACGTTGGTGAGACCCGTGATCCTGAGATTCAGTCAGCCTCCAAATGAGGTTCAATCCTCTCTTACTCACATTGCATCAGTGATCCCAACACTTGGGTCGGTAGTGCCTCGGTCGATTATTAAACCCAGAATACCTTTGCCAAAGCGTTGCTCGAGTATGTCCAATCGATGGCCAAGCCTCCGTAAGTAGGACATCAGCCGGTACTTAGTTTTGTATTCATCTGTACCAGATCCGAGTGCCGGAAACATATCTTGCATCATCCTCTTCGTCAAACTGGCGACGAATTTGTTTGCTGGATTTCCGGGTCTTCTTAGCTGGCCTTCAAAATCAGACGAAGTCGCTACAACGATCTGGCTATTTGAGGCTGCGGTGCCGCCGCAGTCTTTGTATAATGCCAAAATGTGATACCTTCGACGCAGTTGAGCGATGGTTATCCCGCGATCTAGGCTAAGGATGACATCGAGTCGTTCCATCCTCGAGAATGCAGTGGTAATGTTGAGAGCCCCATATCCGACTTCAGTCCTGTACTTCACCAAAATCTCTTGCAATGCAACCATGAGGCAGGGACTGGCAATATTTAGGAGAATTTTCGCCGATACTTCTCTCCCCTTCTCGCTCAAATTCCGAGTGGTCTCTTGTATGGAAGGCGTTAGGGATCTCTCATCAGGAGGCCGATGTCCCGAACGATTACATTTTGGAAACTTCGTTCTTAGTGTCGAATTGGTCTCGTGTACGCCGCGTTTCCTTGTTTGAGGTACTCGCATAGCATCGACCATGTCGTATCGCAAGGGTTCTTTTTGGACAATTCCTCCGAAAGGTGCGCAGAATATGCTGAAATCCTTTACAAAACCTGTCATTGAGACTACGGAAGGCCACTCACCCCGAGCAGCATGGTCGTGTTGAGTCCGAGAAGAGTGGCCACCATCGTTAACAACTCCCGTCAAAGTATCGGTCTGAAGCTCTGTTTGTGAAGAATGAGCCATTCCACTAGGCATGGAAGATGAAAACGCTACAATTGCTTGGTGAGTGTTGCTCGTGGCCGATGGTAGATGACTGTCGAAATTAACTCCGAAGAGAGACTGTGCGAGGGAAGTTACGCCAAACGAATCCTGATGCTCAAGCGACAACATAGATGGATTAACGAATTGT